CATCATTCTTGTTGTGGAGTAATCGAGCGTTTTAAAAGAAATTAGACAGGAGGCCAAAACCCTCATGTATATGATTTTTTACTCACAACCAAAACTATTAGCGGTCGAAAGATGTTTTAATGTAAACCAGGCAGCAAAAATCCCAAACCATAAAAATCTTTTAACTGAAAAACTAATGAAAACGTTATTATGATCCGCGGCCCATCTACATCACTCTCTAATTATTCATATAAAGAGTTTTTAAAATAAGGCGCTAATTGGGAAATGGGCGAAAAAGTGTTCCGATCCGCACCATTTTCAATAGTGTCCGCCTTTCGGCTGAAACTTTTATCAAAATATCTCAAAAAATTTGCAGCCTGCACGCTGAATACAAGAAAGAAGACAGCCAGATAGCCGGACGGCCGGATAAAGCGGCAAACAAGCAGTCTTATAAAACGTATGTCAGTTTACCCGAAAGCCACTCAAAAATATCAATCGGCCAACTGAAATGCCCATAATTAACAACACAATTGCAATTTTCTGTCTATCGTTATATCTATCTATGGTCGATTTTTTCCAATTCGAATCCTTTTTATAATGCAACCACGAGAGAAGACATCGTATGGCTTTGTAATATCTTTGCACAATTCTGTAGATTGCTTTCAATTTTCATAGGTTTCGGGGAGAAATCGGAATATATGTGTGTTGAACCTATTACGATCTTCCCATCCAAAAATACGCCATTCGTAAAGATATTGAAGCGATCTTTGAAAGAAAATGCATACTTTCCTAGCGAGACTACGGGAATTTTTCAAATATTAAAAAGTACCGAAACGATAGGTAGGCTAATTTGTCGTGTATCCGATTTCTGTAAATATGAGGTAGACATATTAAATACCGGGAACTGTGTCAAAGTCGCAAGGAGTTTTTTAATTCAAAACGATATCCAACGAGTTGATTGATTAATGGTGACGCGAAGTGCCATCCAATAAATGGCATGTACTTAAAGCATGCATTTAAACGGCAGTCACCGTTTGTTGTTGATTGACTGACCTAGTGATACTGAAACCATCCTGAAGAGCAAAATTTCCATAACTGACTCTTACAAGCCTCGGTCGATTATTACTTGCATTTGCAGCTTTCTCTCTCTCTCTCTCTCTCTCTCTCTCTCTCTCTCTCTCTCTCTCTCTCTTTCTCTCTCTGTACACGGAATATATCCGCTTGTAAATTTACGATCAATTTTTGACCTTTTGGGGATAAAACGAAAGCACTCTCTTCAAACTGTAAATAAAAAATAATTCTTTTAGTGAACAGTTCCTAATATATCGACATCATATTCAATTTTCACTTAATATACGATACTTTAATGATGCTATACGTTTGCGAGCGATAAAAAAATTGTAAAATACATTTTATTCGAATCTCATTACGGGATAGGTATTGTTAAGTTTCTGACCGATTCAAATCTGCTTAACATTCGAGAAAGGTATCTTTGCTTTGAAAAAAAAAAAGAAAAAGAAATTTATTTAAAAATTTTTTTAAAAATTTATTTTTTTTTTTTTGTACTAAATAATCAAACTAATTTCTAAACGTTCATATGATTATTCGTTTGCTATTTTAGATGAAAATTTTTTAAACCGTTTAATCCTTACCTATATTAAAACTTATGCAAAGGATTCATCATTGACTAAGTTTTTGAGCTAAACGGCATTGTATCACTAAGATGATTAGAAAATGTGTCTTAATCGGTGCGCTTAGGTTATAATTTCGTTCGCTTTTATTCTGCATAACAGGTCTACTGCAAAATTCTGTCCGTTCCGGTCAACAGCAAGCTTCAAACGGTGTGTATGTAATCATTTGACGTATATAACGTTCTGTCTTTTTAGTACGGATAGCACGGGGGTATTGAAAAAAAGTTCATTGTACGCCATTGTACTTTTTGCAAAAAGGAATGCTATAGAGGCGTGCAGAAATTTATTGAAAGTGTTTGATGGCGGTACAGTTTCTGATGGTTCAAACAATTCCGAAAATCTGATATCGATCTTTTTAATGGGTGACGCTCTGAACGTCAATCTTTGATTGGCGTTAATACGGAGTAAAACTTTCTTTTGGCAATAGCGATTGGTTGCGGAAAAGGTCGATTCAGCTCAGCGAACCACATTCGTAAACTGAGATTATAAAAACGAATAGAGCTTTCAGGTAGTTTTTATAATCAGTGCGAGCTATCAGGTAGATCTAGTAATTAGTGCGAAGTTTCAGAATGAACGAAATTTTCCGCAAATTCGTTTTAAACTCCTTGAGTAGATGCAAGGAGTTCATAATGAAAATAAATGAAAATAAAAAAGTAATTTTCTCTGTTCAGAACTACTATATATATATATATATTTTTCTTTTTTTTTTTTGATCCTATATTTAACTCGGGAATTTTTCAGCTTACATTCTATTGTCATCTATCTATTCAGTTAGGATTACTTTCTTTTCTAACCGAGAAGATATCTATTTCCCTTTAAAACCAATTTCCAGTTAAAAGGTGAGTGTCAATAAAATATAAAATTGATTCCAATATGAATTTCTAAATCTTAAAGCACTTAAGCTACATTTCAAACAATTCCAGGCCAATCAAGTCCCCGATTTTTATTGCTAGGTTTTATTATTTGAGAACGCAAGGACTTTCATTATGCAAAGCTTCAACGTTAAAATAATCTCGAACGATCATTGAACTGAAGTGTTCATCTTGATACGAGTCCTTGACGTTGCTTGGTTACAGATCGATTTAATAAATTCTAGTGTTCATCGAACTGCTTACTTCATCAATACTTCATCAATATTTTCGTTCACTTGAACGCACTCACTTGAAATATGAAATATTTATACTAACTTGACGCAGCACGCATTGTTGCCTAAAATTATCATAACTCTTTCAACAGGACGATAATTTCCCCAACTTAACATATACGTTTATATATGTATATACACATTGGAATAAATTAGCAGATTTCGCCTATCAATTAGCTATTATGTTGCAATATAACCTTACAATCGTTTAAATGAAATATTTTTGATAACTCGTAAGGAGTGCGTTAACATAAGGTAAGGAAGGTATTGATTGTGCTCCCATTAAAAGTCTGAAGAATGCTTTGAAAATCAAGTCAAATCATTTATTTACATAATATATGATATCTAAAATTTTCCCCTCAAGATTTTAAGTCTCTAGAGGGAAAAGAAAAGTTCATTACGGATTTGAATTTTAATTTCCACATTTCAGCGAAATGGGTTTCGAGTTTAAGTTCGAAAATTTTTCAAGTTTAAATAGTTAACTGATTGCTTATTTAATATACGTTTCAGTTTACTTCTACGACTCTTTATGGCTTAGCGCTTTTTTTCTTCACTCGCCAGTATTTTTATAATAAACCTTTGGTTAGATATGATAAAGATTTGCTTGAAATTTTAGACATAGGTTGTAAACTATTTTAGGCGAATTACAACTGCCTGACTTATGATTACGACGATGGATGGGCGTCACACGCTCACCAAATCGTTGCCTTATTGTATTATTTTTATCGGGAGTTATGTGGATAAACAAATCAAGGAAATGTCCATGGGCTGGCTTATGGCTTATGGCTTATGGGATGAGATTGCCTAATTTTTGTGTTTCGACGTTAAAAACTCAGATCACTTTTAAAACGTTTTAAAGAGGACAAAACAAGGCTGCTGAGGTAAGGTAAAGTTCAATTCTTTTCAACGTCATCTTTGCTTTCCCTTCGTTATTCATATTCATACGTTATGAAAATAAAATATTCATATTGACATTCACAAAAGTTGATGTGGAAACCATTTTTAATAAAAGTCAACCTTCTATTTGAATTATTTCTATTATTGGCTTACGAATTGTGTTAATCAACTTCATGCCCCTGATCAAAGAAGTCTTTATGATTGCAATCTGTCTCCTTGACTCCATACGGCTGCCAGCGATTTTATCTGGAAGGTTTAAGTTAATATTCATGCTTTTAAGCATAATTTAATATAAAAAAAAAAAAAAATTTTCCAAGTTACATCTCTACTATATGTTTCGTTCATTAATTCATAATTTAAATTATTCATCTTCGAGTCGTGGCGTTCAATCGAATACTAATATGTGTCTCGCACATCTTTATATCATGAATATATCGATTAAGTTTGATGTAGAAAGTAGTTTTAATCAAGGTCATCTTTTTATTTATTTTATGAAATAAAATGAATTTCTTTAAGTTTATATCGTTTCATAATTAATTTCCTAATTTTAAAGATTTCGAACTATTTCTCAGCTTTGATTTATAAAATCGAATTTATTTTCAAATTTATTTTGTTTTATTTGCAAAAAAAGACAAATACAAATAAAGTTTAATAAATTACAAAATTTCAATTATTAACGAAAACTTAAAAAAAAAAAAGAAAAAAAAACCATTAAAACTGCTTACCAAATACCTGAACTGTACAGTCTTTCCAATAAAATATGAAAAAATTTTAAATATATAAAAGCTCTATATTAATGTATGCATAATGTGTATATGTAGATATAAATTGATTATATATGGAATCAAAAAATCAAATAATTAATAATAGTAAACAAACAAAAGACAAAATTGATAATATTATAGGACAAAATTAATATAATTATTATAATTTCATTTTTAATTAACAAAAAGAAGAATTCATTTATTTCATATATTAGAGTCCGTTTTCCTCTTCTAAACATTACTCATCTGTGTGAGAGCAAATTAAAATGAAAATAAACTTGAGCTCGTATGTGTACTACACTTCTCTTTAGCTACATTTTTCTTTAAAGCATAGCATACTCTTAGGCTGTTATAATATATATACATAGAAATTATATAAGATATAAAAACAAAAAAACAAAAAAACCAAAACCAAATGTGTTATACAAAGATAATTAATTTAAACTAATCTTTCATTTTATTAGAATAAAATTCAACGAAAAAACAAAAAATGATCCTCAACCACAAGCATTTAAAACAAAATCGTAACTTCTCAAATAACTTAAAGAATTTAAGTAAAAATTTATTATTAAAAAAAACTCTTCAAATATAAACTAAAAGGTAATAATTAAAGACTTATAAAAACAACACATAAATGTACATGCGATAATATATAACAGAAAAACAAAAAAACAAAAAAAAAAAATCGGTAATTTTGTTATATGTCTGTATAGTATGTAAAAAATGAAAGATTTTATAAACTCAATGCCTAAATGAGTTTACATTTACTTAACAATAAGCTTAAATGATGAGAAAAAGGTGAACTCTAAAGTAAAACAAAACGTACGCCTAACTTAATATATATAATTTATTAATTCAAATAAAGGCATAAAAAAAAAAAATTATAATAATAAAATAAAAAATATGCATACAATACACTTAAAAATATATACGAGTTTCGCTAACATTCTTTAGGACGATTTATTAAGAAATTAGGATAAAATCTTAAGCCTTCTAAAGACTCATCGCGGCATAGTTTACCTAGACGCTCGGCTGCTAGTAAACGCTCTTTCGCCAATAGCAAAGATATATTGCGTAATTTTGCCAAATCCTCTACAGCTAAAGAAGTATTGCTTTCCACCAAAGCCAATGTATCTACAGCCATCATCTCATCGTCATGGGACTCTAGCTGTAAAACCATAGCTCCACTAGGAAATGTACGTAGTTTAATAGGTCCTTGTAACAAATGGCAGGCATGCAACAAATCTTCAGGCGACAGTAATTCTAATCCTCTCGCTCTATTCACCCGACAATAAACATCAGCTAATGACATCATTCCGCCACAATCCTAAAAATAAAACGACACATCATCGATGCACAGAAAAAGCAAAATATTGTTAAATCTCACTTCTAAAGGATCCAATAACATTTCACACAATTGCTGGGCCAGACTCGAAAAATATGCCGTATCGCTGGAATAACCTTCTCGAGTTACTGGATCCGCTATACCTAAGCTGAGTAAATACGATTTAAATGTTATTGTTTCGTCTTGGGAAATTTCGCCCCTTTCATTGCGTATTTTTTCGCTTATGACTTGAGATATGCCCACCATATCTTTGGCCATAGCCATTAGAACGCGTAAATCTTGAAATGCTAAAGCTATATTCTCATCTGTCTCTTTACTTTTCGCCTCAATGGCACGTTCTATTCCTCCAATACCGGTGCGCATTCGTAGACGTGCTTCTCGGCTTGATAGTTCTTTAGCGGTGGGCTTTGCATGCTCTTCACAATTCTCATTAGAATTTGTGCTGCTAGCATCCACTTGCCAAATACGTGCTTCCAGAGTTTCTCTTAAGGCACTAGCAAATTCTGAATATACACCATGTTTACCGGATAATTTGATAAAAGATGCTCTACTGTTATCTAAAGGACCCGGAGCTTTATCAATTGCAGCTGGACGGAGGTGCAGTATTAGACGGGTTTTACGACCAAACAAATAGTTACTAGCTTGCTCTTCACTAATTGATACTATATAACGTAAATGTAAGCATAAAGTAACTGCTGCGCGTGCAATCTCACCGGGTCTGCCCCAAAATAAACGATGAGTGGTTAAGACCAGCTCTCCGTCTTCGAATTTAGTCTTTAAAGAAATTTAGAAATGACAAATCTTAATTAATTATGATATTTATTTATTTATTTTTATTATTATTGAAAACCAAACAAAAGAATTACTGAACCTAAAGTTTTGTTTCTTTCTCGGTCTCTTAGAATCGACGAAGAATAATTACCTTTTGTTCGCCATCATATAATTTTATATTGGATTCACGGCTAACGAATGTTTCTCCATCTTCTAGTCGAGCTTCTATGTATTCAAAGCGATTCATTTTCCATCTGCTTCAGATTATTAATTAATTTTTATATTAAATAGTTGAATAGTTGAAATAGTTGAATTATTAAATGAAACAAACAGCTGATTTAAGAGCGATATTTTAATTGATGTGCTTTAGTTATTCTCATCATTAATCATCTATCATAAGTTATCGTTTCATTTAGTTATCGGTTACCTTTGTGTCTCTAACGTGAAATTAACTTTTTTCTCTTGCTTTCTTTTGTTTTATTTTAGTTTTTTGTGTTTTTTTTTTTTTTTTAAGTTTAAATGCATTTTAAAGTGGTATTTTAATCCAATCATAGCAATAATATCAAGACATTATAAAAACTAATTGTATAATTTAAGAAAAATAAATTTATAAAATATAATTATTACGTTTCCAATTTTGGTCAAAGTGTAGCTAAATTTATTTCCCTTTTGAGAAAAAAAAGGGGTGAAGTTGCGCTAAAAATAAATTTTTAACACAAATCCGAAACGCACGTACGTTGTGTTATGGAGTCAAAAGAAACGGCAGAAGCTAGCAAAATGTTAGAGGCTGCTTTGCAACAAATGGATGGGATTATATCTGGAGCGACTAGTAACTCAAACGTGATAGGTGTTGGCGGAGGTGGTGGCGGAAGTGGAGGCGGAGGTGTGTGTATAACAACAAGCGCACAAGCAATGCAGTCAAGCGTAACAGCAACCTCGGGGATCGGCAGTCACGCTTTAAGTGAACGCAATTTAATATCGGCCAACAATGTACTGTCAACGGCCAAAACTTTGGCTCTGGCTTTGGAACAGGTACATAAATAAATAATTAAAAAAAGTTTAGAATATTGATACAAAAAAGTTTAATCTGAAGGTTGGTTTAAGTGCTCCAGCTCCCGACGTCGCCACAGCTACTACAATTAACGATTGGCTGGAGCAACATATGCCGCGTCAAGATGCAGACGAACGTTTAAGAAGACTACAGCGAGACAAGGAATCATTAGCTTTGCAATATCAAATGGTAGCTGACGAGGTTTGCGAACAAGCCGATAAAATTATTGAACTTGAAGGTTTATTGGCTGAAAAAACTCAACAGCTTAGTGTTAAAGAAGAGCTTTTGCAGCGACAAATTTGTACACGTTCCGAATTGGAGACACAAAAATTGCAGTTAATGACGGCTCTTAGCGAATTAAAATTGCATCGTGCTGCCTTAGAAAGAGAGAATTTAACTTTAAAAAATTTTGAAAATCTAAGCAATTCCCAAGATTTGCTAAAACGTTTGCAAGCTTACGGAAGCATGGGTAATTTGCCGCAATTAAATTACATATCCCAACCAAATAAACCCAAGACGCCACCAAGTTTATTAAGACATCAGATTCATCCACAATTTCATAGTCTACCGCGGTCACATTGTACAAAAAATGACAAAACTAAATTGCCTTGGAATTCTCAAAATCATAACAATAACAATCGTTTCTTAGATGAAGGTGGTAATAAGCAACGCAATGTTGCATTTGCATCAAATGAAAAAATTCTTATAGAAGATGTAACAGTTGTCCACAATAGCAATGTTGGAAATGATGTAATGTATGGAAGCTTTATTTCCCAGATAAATTCGACGCCTTCTCCAAATCTGCGGGAGCGTTCGGCGAAAAGTATACGTAATATTTTGGGTAAACTAAGACGTAGTAACAGCGGTAACCTGGAATTACCTACTTTGGAGCAAGCGGAACCTGAATTCCGACGTGGTGATCGTGCCCGAGCTACTGCAGGGGGGCGTATAGAATGGTCTGGGCATTCTTCTCAAGCGTCTACAAATTCAAAGAGCTGTTTAGAATGGACCGCACAAGAGGTAGGCAATTGGTTATGCGATTTGGGTTTCCGGTGCTATGAAGAGGATTGCCGTAAATGGTTGAAAAATAATACTACTAATTTTTTTATGGCCTCTTCTGGTGATTTGGAAAAAGAACTTAACATAAAACTTCCTTTGCATCGGAAAAAGATTTTATTGGCTATCGATGAGCTAACGGGCAAAGAAACCGATCTTTTGGCTTTAAAAGCAAGTCAATTAGATATCGGTTGGGTTTTACGTTGGCTAGACGATATAGGTTTACCTCAATACAAGGACAATTTTTTAATGGCCAAAATTGATGGCCGCCTATTGCATCGTTTAACAATGGAAGATTTATTGCAATTAAATGTGAGCTCATGCCTTCATATAGCTTCTTTAAGACGAGCCATACAATGTATGCGAGAAATGGAATGGAATCCAGAATGCTTAATACGACGTTCTACTAAAATACCCAAGCGCAACAGTTCAGATACAGAAGATAAAAGCTCTGACGTATCCGATGAATCTGATACCAGTCCAGAGTTTATAGCTTTATGGACTGCTCATCGTGTTATGGAATGGCTGAGAGTAGCCGATTTATCTGAATACGCTCCTAATTTACGGGGTGCCGGGGTACATGGAGCTTTAATGTTATATGAGCCAAAATTTACGGCAAATCTTTTGGCTGACCTATTAAGTATACCGCCTAGTAAAACGTTGTTAAGGAGACATTTGGCTACCCATTTTAAAGAGCTATTAGGTCGCTCTATTATACAAGAGAAACGCAACGCTGAAACACTGCCAGGTTATCAGGCTTTAACAATTTCAGCTAAAATAAAGCCACCGAAAAAATCGCAATTTTCATTGAAAAGACGCAAAAGTACGAAAGGTTTGAATTGCGCTAGTACCGACAAAGAATGGTCAGAGTACGTATGTCCTATGACCACCAGCACAGCACAAATGAGAGCAACAACAAGCAATGATCAATGCAATAATAAAATATCAGCCAAAATATCAAGCAACAATAACTCAAATAACACCCAGACAATTTAATTGAAAAGTTTTTTTTCTTTAAAAAGAAAGAAAAGGAAATTGTCAAACATAAAATCATTTAATTATAAGTTATGCAAATATTTTTTATTTAATTTTCTATGATATTTTACTAAACAGATTCCTTAAACGATGCCTTAAGAGATTCGAACTAACCTCCTATCAATCACACAAATTTCATCGTTAAACTCGACTGAGTTTAACAAATGAACATTAAGAAAAAGTTTTCGGGAATTTGGGAAAAAACCTAAAAGTATTTCATATATAAAGAGTAACGAAAAATATTCCTTATTACAAACTTTTATCGCTTAGTAAGAAATCATAGTTTTTGTTTTTCTTCTTCTTTTTTTCCCCTTTTTTTTTTTGTTTTAGTTTGAATGTAGCATTTATCTTAGTTGTTTTTTTTTTTATATGACATTTGAAGAGAACGTACCTTATTTAAGTTAAATTCTAATAACATACACGTATGTACATGTTTCGAAAATTTAAAGCAATAATTCCAATACCGAATCGCTATCACTGGCTATTAAATGATGATAACGTGATTAGCTTCCTAAATGCATGTGTGTCAGTTTGAATTGCAAAAATATTTATGTTTTTTATATTAACGGACGTTTATTATCATCATTATTATAATTATTATAAAAATTATTATTATTATTATTATTATTGTTATTAAAAATGGAATTTTTTCATTAGTTTAAAATAACCAAACATTTTTTTTTTTTTTTTTTTGAAATTTTATTATTTTTAAAATATTCGTTCAAACAAAGTTAACATAATAACAAATAATACATATATATATAATCTTAAAAACTTAGAAACCAGTTAACGATAAATTAAAAATAAAAAGAAAATTAAATAAAAATTAAAAATAATTTTAATAAATTAATACAGCACAGTAACAATATCTATCGTCTGACAAACAATATAATCAGCTGATGGCTGCACAGTTTCAAATCCAATGTCAGAGTATTTATTTATTGTTCGCATCGATATAGAAAAATATTTTAGTGTATATTTGTTAATTGTTTCCATTAGGACGGATTAAAACTTTTTTTTTTTTTTTTTTTTGTCATCATATCAAGAGAGAGTGGAAAGCGTTAAAAATATTATTCATTTTTATAAAAATCTTATTACTATCTTTGGCAGTACATTAGATGATTTTCATAGAGAGCTTAAATACATACATACATATATATATATATATTTTTTTAACTTTTCTATTATAATTAAAATACCATAAATTATTTAAAAAGATTACAAAACTCTCAAGAATTGTAAATGTTTTAAAGACTGTAATTCGATGATGTAAATATGTGGAAACGAAACGGTTCGTGCCGAGTTACGTCATGCACACAGTAAGATATTTCATCCATAAAGTTAACTTTTACACAAATATATCTATCAAAAATCATTAATAAATACACCAGACTGTTATAGACTGAACCCTGATGAACTGTTCAAAAAATCGCGAATTTTGTAACATGTGCGATTGCAAAAAACCAGGTATTTTGAACTCTAGATAGGAAACGGTTTCTCTTCTTCTTCCTATGAGTGTAATCACTTTTCATTCTCTTTAAAGCATTAGCCTGCTACAGCAGCAAAAGTAAGTACAAATCATTAAATATCCCATCCCCCATATGGGGGTGAATATAAATTTCAAAAGTGGGCAAATTTTTTTAACTTCGCAGCTAGCGTTCCTGGCGTTGCTTATGTCTCGCGAAACGGTAAAAGAAGAAAGTCTATGTTCGTTTGTAAATAACTATTTGCCATGGTGATGATGACATTCGCAAGTTGTGGTAGAAATGGCAAACAGATAGTAAAAAATCAAATTGCTTCAAGAAGCCTAGATTCTTCCTTCCTTTTTTTTGTCTTTCTTCAATCTGCAAATCTTTGCTTTATATCATCAAAAGATTAAAGTTAAGTTTGCTTTGTTCCTGTTGCTGTCAGGAGAAATTTTCAGCGTTTGTAAAGAGCAAGCAAGCAACTTGGTTCAATTGTCGACAAACATAAATCAATTTCGATTTATCTACTTCTCTACTTTTAGGTGACGATAGTCAATAACAACTAGTTTGACTGACTTTCTATATATAACTTTATGAAAAGTAATGGCTTGAATGTTGATATTCGACGAAATGGAAAAAAAATGTTTTCTTTTTTTTATGCACCGAATCACTTCAACATAAGCAATAGTAAGAAAGAAAAGTGGGAAAAATTGAATGTTGCAATAATGAGTGGGTCTGCGAACCGATCCGAATCACATTGACGCAGAAATTTGATATCTACCATTGATCATACGATTCATAAAGCACAGAATAAAGCATTAAAGACGATGTTATGTTCGTGATTAGCGTAGGACTTTAACTCGATCTATATATATATATATATATATACATATATATATCCGCACAAGGTCTGCTTAAAAAAGCCACATTTTAGAAAGCTTTAAACGCGGTTAATGTAACAAATGTTTCCCTGTTACAAATAGTTCCCCTAGCTGTCTAAACGTTCACTGTTCATGTTCAGTTAAGATTTTAGTTGTTTTAATTTGTGATAGATATAGAGGAGTTATGTTTGCTTTATCCTATGCGTACGCGTGTTAAAAGGCAGTCAGTCCCTCATTCATTTCTATTGTCTTAAAAAAATATTGACCAAGGTCAAGCGAATCAGGGTTCAGTGTGTAGTATGGCTAGAAGTTAGTGCTAGCGTGAATATAAAAATTATTTTAAACTCGGTGAGGTAAGCAAACGATCAAGCAATGGTTGCGAATGCAACTTCTTGTAAAGTAAGCAGTAGTAAGTAGTAGTGCAAGGGCAACTGAACTGAAACATATTGAGAAAGAATTTGTAAAATCTATGAAATTTAAAGAGAAAGAAGAAAAAGATTGAAGATAAGCAAGATATTTGTCTCTTCCTGGTTCATTGCTTTTATAGACTCAGCTGAATTTCAATTCTATCGCGAGGTTTGCATTTTTTTAATGGGACGGTTTGTTTAGCTTGTGGAGGGATTAAAGTTAAGCAGATCGCAAAATCGTAAAAATGAATTTTTTTTCACAACATAACAAACTTAAGTGGAACTTGATGGAGTTTTGTGCGCAGCTCGGTTGGAAATGATCAAATATTTCATCTAAAAATTTCTTCTTCTTATTACAAAATACTCTCTTCATTGTTGACTATAAAATTTTCAATGTCCTTTTTCGTGAACGGAGGAGCTGAGCAGGCTCCATCTTCATTTGCTTCGTGATGATTGGAAAATTCTGCTGCTGCAGCTGCTGCCGCCGCGGCCGCTAAAGCAGCGTTTCTGTTTTGTTGTAAGTCTTCGGGTAGATAATCTTTCCAATTTCGGAATAGATATCGTGTAAATTTCTTTAATTGTCGGAATTTACAATACGTGGCGCCTTCTGCGGACTCCAATTGCTGTGTTTGTATTAGGAAGCCTTGTTCTTTAAACGTTTTTTCTAATTTTTCACGCTGAGTTGAACGACGCACCTGATGTAAAGTCTGTTTTTTACGTGTCACAACATAGCTGCGATTTGCGGCGATATTGGGACTTGAGGATCGATTTGGGGTCCTTTCTACAGTGGGGGAAGAACAAAAGTCTTTAGTATTTGATGCTGAGAGATTCACTGCGGAGGTAATTATTTTGTTGGAAATTGCGTTTAATGCAGAAGATGTCGTTAATGGCAAAGAGTGACTGGTTTCTGGAATTTGTAGTACATCATTATTTAAACCGGCCGATCGTGGCATATCGAGGGCAATTTTTTGTCCCGCGCAATTAACTCCAGGTAATAAGCCCGCTGTTTGATGTAAACTTTCCCTGGGAAAGTATTCATAACCACGTGATGCTTTATCGCCGGTACCACTGAAATAACGATAATTGCCCCCCGCATCTACGGAGAGCATTTTCTTTTCTTGTAATGTAGGTTTGGCTCCACCAGTAAACTTAAATTTACATATACTAACCTCAGTAGCGGGAATAGTTGTATTTTCACTGGGCATAGGTGGTATGAAAATGGCGGAGCGTTTGCGTTTCTGAGGTATTGATTGTTGACTGCAGGAGTTAGTTGCCGTAGCTGAGCTCGTTGTAGTAGCCAATGAATTTTCCGATTTAATTGACGATGGCGTCGACAAACGTTCAGGACAATCGAAATTTAAACTATTCGAGTGTGAGTGTACCGGACTCGGTGATGACTTTTCCAATTTTGGCGTTACAAACAAACCACTGGGTATGGGTATCTTTAAGGCCAATTGATTATCTTTCTCTATTGTTTCAATTTGTCCATTATTGTGATGGAGCAGAACGCCGCTCTCCAAAATTTTCTGATAGTATAACGAAGCAGGCTGTGATATGGCCGATTGTGTTAGACCGAGATTTGGCTGACGTAACGACGTCTCCAATATCGGCGACGATTTAAAATTGCGATCCTTTACCTCAGTCACATTAATATTTGTAAGAGAACTCTTCAGATTGGCCGCTAGCATAGAATCTCTAATAACATCCGAGGGAGTAGTTATAGGTGTAGGGCAGCTAGAATTTGTCTCAGTTTGATTGTCCTCCTCGCCGCTCGATACAGAATAAGAATCCGATGTGAGATCACGTAGACACAAATTCAACGGCTTTTCTTCGTCATCTTTTAATCGAAAGCGATTGAACGAACAGCCGCCTGTTGAGTTGTTAGACTTATTAGGATTCGTCGGTAAATTTGATATAAATGTGTTTGGTAGTTCGGTGCTCTGTGGAAAAAGTGTACCGTAGTTTTTATAAATTAAATGGCAAATGTCCGCTTTTTTAGGTTTACGTCCCCTACGCGGCTTGGAATTATCTAACGTTATTTCACCCATGTAAGGAAGATTACAATAACTTAATAGGTTTTTCTGAGAGTTGATGGGCTTAGATGGATTGTTATGATGAACGCTTGGCCTTTCATAATTAAGTAACGGAAGCGAATGCCGATGACTTTGCGGGTTATTATTGGTATCCAAGCGACTTGTCTCGGTACCGATGGCTGTTGGAAAGCAACATTTTTCATTGGTTCCGTTGTCTTTATTGTTAAGAGAGCTTGTAACGCGTTTATTCGTTGCCGAAGTCATGTCAGCATTACGTTGAATTTCTGCAATCTTTTGCAGCCAACTTCTGACATTTTCGTGCGAATTGCGGCTGTGTGTCGCCTTCGAGATTGATGGCGTTTTAGCGATTTTTTGGTTACTCGCTGTTGGAGGCTTTTGTTGTGTGCGATTTGGTCCCTGCGTAGCTTCATAATGATTAAGATATTCAGGTGGTAAGGCCTGATGATGAAATCTTAACTTTAACGAACCGGTAGAAGTTTTCCTTTTCACTTTAGGTGTTCGTTGCTTAATAGTAGAGTTATTT